TGTAAAATAATAGATTCAATATACAATAATAGAGGCACTTGCAATAATTATATCATAAACAACATGTTATTTATATACAAGTTTTCTACTATAGTTAATTAGTTAAACTAGACTCATTTTTAAGCATTACCTGATGGTGTAGTTTCAACGGTTGTCTTGTCCGTAGCGGCCACAGTTGTCAAATTATCTGTAAAATAAAGGAATCATTATACAATAATAATAGAGGCACTTGTAATAATTATATCATAAACAACATGAATATTCATAATACACGTTTTCCACTATAGTTAATTAGTTAAATTAGACTCATTTTTAAGCATTACCTGATGTTGTGGTTTGAACTATTGTCTTGTCCGTAGTCGCCACAGTTGTCAAATCATCTGTAAAATAATAGATTCAATATACAATAACAGAGGCACTTGCAATAATTATATCATAAACAACATGTTATTCATAATACAAGTTTTCTACTATAGTCAGTTAGTTAAACTAGTCTCATTTTTAAGCATTACCTGATGGTGTGGTTGTGGCTGTTGTCTTGTCCGTAGCAGCCACAGTTGTCAAATCATCTGTAAAATAATAGATTCAAAATACAATAATAGAGGCACTTGCAATAATTATATCATAAACAACATTTTATTTATATACAAGTTTTCTACTATAGTTAATTAGTTAAACTAGACTCATTTTTAAGCATTACCTGATGGTGTAGTTTCAACGGTTGTCTTGTCCGTAGCGGCCACAGTTGTCAAATTATCTGTAAAATAAAGGAATCAATATACAATAATAATAGAGGCACTTGTAATAATTATATCATAAACAACATGAATATTCATAATACAGGTTTTCCACTATAGTTAATTAGTTAAACTAGACTCATTTTTAAGCATTACCTGATGTTGTGGTTTGAACTATTGTCTTGTCCGTAGTCGCCACAGTTGTCAAATCGTCTGTAAAATAATAGATTCAATATACAAGAATAATAGAGGCACTTGTAATAATAAACAACATGTTATTCATAATACAAATTTTTCACTATTAGTTAAACTAGACTTATTTTTAAGCATTACCTGATGGTGTGGTTTTGACTGTTGTCTTGTCCGTAGCAGCCACAGTTGTCAAATCATCTGTAAAATAATAGATTCAATATACAATAACAGAGGCACTTGCAATAATTATATCATAAACAGCATGTTATTCATAATACAAGTTTTCTACTATAGTTAATTAGTTAAACTAGACTCATTTTTGAGCATTACCTGATGGTGTGGTTGTGACTGTTGTCTTGTCTGTAGTGGGCACAGTTGTCAAATCATCTGTAAGTTAACAGATTTAATATACACATAATAATAGAGACAATTGTAATACTTTTATAACACACAGTTGTCAAAACTTCTGCAAAATGGATTCAATATACACTATGATATGAAGGCACTTGTAATAATTACATCACTCTTAAACAACATTTTATTCATAATACAAGTTTTTCACTAGAGTTAATTAGTTAAACTAGACACATTTTTAAGCATTACCTGATATTGTGGTTTGAACTGTTGTCTTGTTTGTAGCGGCCACAGTTGTCAAATTATCTGTAAAATAATGGATTTAATATACAATAATAATAGAGGCAATTTTAATATTTTTATTGTAAACAACGTGTTATTCATAATACAAGTTTCTACTATAGTCAGTTAAACTAGAATAATTTTAAAAATTTACCTGATGATGTGGTTTCAACAGTTGTCTTCTCCGTATTGGAAACAGTTGTCAAGTTTGCTGTAAAATGGATTTAATATACACTATTAATTGAGGCACTTGTAATAATTAAATCATTCATAAACAACATGTTATTCATAATACTTGTTTTCTACTATATTTAATTATTTAAACTTGACTCATTTTTTAAGCATTACCTGATGGTGTGGTTTTGACTGTTGTCTTGTCCGTAGCAGCCACAGTTTTCAAATCATCTGTAAAATAATAGATTCAATATACAATAATAATAGAGGCACTTGCAATAATTATATCATAAACAGCATGTTATTCATATACAAGTTTTCTACTATAGTTAATTAGTAATAAACTAGACTCATTTTTAAAAATTACCTGATGGTGTGGTTGTGACTGTTGTCTTGTCTGTAGTGGGCACAGTTGTCAAATCATCTGTAAAATAATAGATTCAATATAAATAATAGAGGCACTCAGGGGCGGATTTAGGGGGGGGGGCAGCCCGGCC